TCTCTATCTATCTATCTATCTATCTATCTATCTATCTATCTATCTATCTATCTATCTATCTATCTATCTATCTATCTATCTATCTATCTCTTATACCTGTACATACAAAACTGTCTATTGTAATATACCTGGACATACAATTGTCAATTTATATATTGTTATTCCTTATTTACTTGTTCTATTTACTTGTTCTATTTTTTATTCTTCTTTTATTATCTGTGTTTATGTTCTGTCGCTTTATCTTTGAGTTCAGCTCATGAAAAATGGGGGCAAAAACAAAAGTGTTGCGTTTATAATTGTGTTCAGTGTATCTGTCTGTCTAAGATACCATAATTCTACTTTTTTAGACAAAACTTTACCCTTGGACTCAAATAATATCTCTCTCTCTCTCTCTCTTTCTCTCTCCGTCTTTCTCTTTCTCCACAGAGCCTCTGAGAGTCACATTATCCCCCAAGAACCTGAAAACAGGCATCAGCAGCACAGTGATTCTGTCCTGTGCCGTTCAGGGCTCGCCCCAATTCACCGTCTCCTGGTTCCGCAACACAGAACCCATCGTGCCTGACCAGCACTTCTCCATCCAGGGAGCCCACAATGAAACTCTCTTCATCACGGCAGCCCAAAAAAGACACTCAGGGGCATATCAGTGCTTCGCCACCCGCAAGGGTCAGACCGCACAGGACTTCTCCATCATACTGCTTGAGGGTAAGTGGAAAGAGTGGATAATGGGATAGCACTGAAGGTTGTGGTTCTGATTCTAACTCTGCAGTGTACAATTCTTTTTTGACATAAAAGTTCCAAATTTTGATTACTATGACTTTTAAGCAAGTTACAATGTGCCCTACACAATCGCGACAAGATTTTTTCTTTTTTTCCAGTAACAGGTAATTGCTGTCCTTAATGAATGTGAAATATTGCACGAAGAAACAGCATAATAGATTTGGCATTTAATATACATAAACCAAAAGAAACCAAGCAACTGAAATGAAAAATGATTAATGGTATTAATACTGAATGCAATTTGCAGCAACAAAGCAATTTTCAAAATGATTTAAAAATATATGACTTTTAAAAATTATGGCTAATGGATTAAAATGATTGTGCTCAATCTAATGATTTTGTGACAATGATTTTCTGTTTTAAAAAACAGAATCAAACAGTAATAATTTCGATAAATATGCCAGAAAAATATGATGTAAAAATGTTTTCAGCTGAAATTATCCACGGACCCCCAAGCACCCTCTTACTGTTTGTATACTTCTGAATTAAGTAAACTCACATTTTACGATTTTACAGTTTAAATGTATTGCATGCAATTAAATTAAGTTGAGACAAAATATTAAAGAATTTGGTTTTATTTAATTAAATTTACACACATTTACTTTTTTTTTTTTACATCATGTCTGGTTAGGACACAGTGTCATTCATGCAATTGAGAGGCAAGACAAAATTAGTGACTTAATGACCACTTTTGAACTCCTCTTGAAAAATTGAGCTGTTCTTATGAAATAAACATTTCAGCAGTGTACCTTTCAAAGATTCTGAAGTCTTCTATCTGTATTCCTCTCTCTTTTTCCTGTCAGACGGCACCCCACGGATCGTCTCGTCTTTCAGTGAGCGCGTAGTAGCCCCTGGTGAGCCCTTCTCTCTCATGTGTGCGGCCAAAGGCGCTCCACCCCCCACCATCACCTGGACGCTGGACGACGAGCCGGTAGCGCGGGACTCGGCGCACCGGGCCAGCCAGTACACGCTCTCCGACGGCTCCACTGTCTCGCACGTCAACGTCTCAAACCCCCAGATCCGGGACGGGGGCGTGTACCGCTGCGCCGCACGCAACTCGGCCGGTAGCGCCGAGTACCAAGCGCGCATAAACGTAAGAGGTGCCTGTCTACTTTTCAATCTCAGACGTTTAGGGTTATAACCCACCACCTCCCCGACCCTTGACCCCTGAACTCCTCCACCTCATCTCAAGTCCAGATATCATTGCTTCTTATCAACTCAAGTATCATTGTGTGTGTGGGGGGGCGGGGGTGTGTATGTGAGTGGGTGGAGCGTCTTATGTTGTATGTTCATCACAGTTCTGTCACCTGTGCGTTTTCTCATCTTGAACGCCGTTCTTTCCACTGTCAGATCATCTGTTTGTGTTCTCTGTATCTTTCCACTTCTCCTGTTTGTGTCTCCATCTGCTGAGTCTTTGTTCCTCTCTTTCACACATACACGGTGTCTCTGTCTAAATGTTGCCGGCTGGCTGGCACACGTGTGGTGTCCTGGCTGTTCTGGGACAGAGTGGAGATCTGGCAGCAGGGAGACGCCATCACGCCAAAGAGAAAAGAGACATGTCAGATAATAAACCAGACTGAGAGGAGAGAAAATTAGTTGAAACAGTAGAGAAGGGTAGAAACGAGAGAAAAATACTTAAAAACTCAAATTAGAGGAAAGGAAAGAAGTAGAACAGAGACAAGAGAAGAGGACACATATGGAAAAAAACGATTCCAATGAAATGGAAGTAACGATAGATGTTTTCTTCTGTATTATGATGTATTCTAGTTTCATCCGTTTCCTCCGTAATTCTATATGGATTATTGAAAATGAATGTAGACCGGGGACTTTATTTTATCCATCGGTTGATAATTGGATTTTGATATTTGGCTGTTTGACTCAAAAATGAATGAAAACTCATTCAAGTCCATTTTGGTTGGGTTGTGTTTAAGTGGACTAAATTATTTTTTTGAAAAGTCTGGTATACGCCACCAGAGAGAAGTTTGTCGTTTCACTAGAAAATCAAGTTTTGACTTAAGAAAAACAGTGGCAAATGTATATAGACTCTATGATGAGAATTTCTACCCTTTGATTAGTAATGAATACTGATTATTTCACAGACAAAGTGGAATTCAAAGTTTGGCTCATGGTTACCTAGTTAACATAATAAAAAGTGCCTCAAAAAATTATTTGAAAATCTTTTAACTGATACTTTTTGGTACATTCTGAAGGGAGGAAAAAGAGGCATTCGCTCTGACCTGAATATATTTTAAAGGGTTAGTTCACCCAAAAATTTAAATTAGCCCATGAATTACTCACCCTCAAGGCATCCTAGGTGTATTTTTCTTCTTTCAAACTAATCCAGTCGGAGTTATATTAAAAATCGTCTTTGACCTTCCAAGCTGTTTAATGGCAGTCAGCGGGTGTTGCAGTGCATCAGTTCAAAAGAAGTGAAATAAAGCACATCCATCCATAATAAATAGTGCCTCACACAGCTCCGGGGGCTGAACAAAGTATTCTTGTAGCGAATCGATGCGTTTTTGTAAGAAAATAACCATATTTAAAACCTAATAATCACTTTAATCTAGCTTGTGCTCACTGTTGTAAACGGAAGCCGTTCCGGAGCAGATGACGTAAGATGTCGGCGTTGTGCATGCACCGCTCAGAAGTGACGAACGCAGAAGTGCAGGGGAGAGATCAAAACATAACAACGGTCACGATTTAGAAGTACAAAACGAGGATTTGTAAAGAAGAATGTCAGAGGATTTCGATATAAGCCAAGAGGAGACTGGTTTTCCTTTGCTAAAATAAGGAAACTTTGCTTCCTTTGCTCCTGTAAAGAAATGTTGATTTTCTCGAGACTCACCAATGCGCAACGCCGACCTCATACGTCATCCTCCCGGAGCTGCTTCCATGTACAACTGTTGGCGCAAGCTAGATTAAAGTGATTATTACGTTTTGAATATGGATATTTTTCTTACAAAAACGCATTGATTCGCTACAGGAGGCCTTTGTTCACCCCTGGAGCCATGTGAGGCACTTTTTTGTTATGGATATATGCGCTTTATTTCACTTCTTTTGAACTGATGAACTGCAACACCCGCTGACTGCCATCAAACAGCTTGGAAGATCAAAGACAATTTTTTATATTACTCCGACTGGATTCATCTGAAAGAAGGAATTCATATATGCCTAGGATGGCTTGAGGGTGAGTAAATAATGGACTAATTTTCCTTTCCTTTTTGAGTGAACTATTGCTTTAAATATTTGATGTCACTTACCTGACAAACGTTGACAATTCCAATAACAATTTCATCCACAGAAGCACTTGTTCTATCCACCCAGTACCTTGTTTCTAGCCAGACAGATAAATCCCAGTGCGCCAATACTCTCGGAAGTTGTGCTCAGTCAGCTAATCAGATTAAGTTTGTGAGATTGAGAACAGAGATTGAGTTTTTTGCATATTATGCATCAGATGGTAAGTGAACCGACTGTGGGCATTCCATGGGCGTGTCTTCTGAGCCTCAGACTAAGAGTGATATTGATTAGTGTTGACAGGCCTGTTGAATTCACCCTCTCTTCCTCTCTGAAATGTTCAGTTATGACATATCTGTCTGCTTTAAGGAGACATGCCAGAGCAATCATTGCAGTGAGAATGAGACCCTGTGCCAGGGAGCCACAGTTGTGCGCACACACGTTGAACTCACGGACACACTCATAGAGTCTTAAAGGGGTCCTATTATGCTTTTTCACTTTTTTAATTTTAGTCAGTGTGTAGTGTGTTTGTTTGGGCATAAAAAAGATATTTCATTTTTAAAAAATCCCTTTTCAAGAACTACAATGAACGACTCGTTTGGACTACAGCGTTGGTTTACGGGCTTTGTGATATCACAAAGCTGCTCATTAGATTATAATTAAAAAGAATTCCCGCCTACAGAAATTTGAATGGTTGGGTGGTGGGGAGGGGCAAGGTTGTGGTTAGAAAGCTTGGTTGAGTGAGTGCATCAGACGAGACGCTGAAGAAGAAGTGCTGCTGCAGAATTAGTGCATCAGAGATAACGAAGAAGAAGAGCTGCTGTGCTGTAGCGTAAAATTTTCGGCATGTCTAGAACAATTCTTACAAGTACAACATGACGTAGCTGGGTGCCGTGGACAGACGCCTTACGGCACCGCCGGTGTGCCTACACTCATAGAAAATAATGTATTCAAATTTTAAAGATGTGGCGCGACGCGACGCTGCGCTTCTCGTCCGGTGTGCGACCGCCTGAAATGCTGTTTTTTTCACCTCCGTGCCCAAACGTTGCAATTTATTTTTTAACTTTTTTCCTGAGCATTATAACCACAATTTGCTATCGTGTGCTGCACATTTTACTGAGGACAGCTTCCACAACACGAGGGAGTATAGTGCCGGATTCGCCAAAAGCTTGTTGAAAGACGGAGCAAGGGGCGTGGCAGTACTGAAACACAGTCTAAGCTGGTCACCAATCACAACACACTGGGACAGCTAACCAGTCACAACACATTTTGTTTTTCGGAAGGCGGACCTTCATCAAAGCCAGAACTAATCGAGCCATTTGTGCCAGGCTGGAGAGAAAGGTATTTTAATAATGTAAATTATGTGAAAAATAATGCATTTTTTGAACCACCAAGCATGAGAGCATGTTCTAGTACCCCCCCAAAACAAAATAAAGACTTTGTAAAAGAGCATAATAGGACACCTTTAAAATACTACTGCCTGACTAATACACTCTGACCGCAGTTTGCTCATGAAAACGGACAGCATTGACTTTAACGCACACACTATCCATATCACGCACACACATTTATTCTTGAGATGATAGTTCCGCCACGCAATATTTAACAAACAGACACCTGTGAGCAATCAGGCCCCATTCTTCCTGTGAACAGCACAATAGCAGTGCTCAGTTCCTGCCTGGAACATTATCTAAGTTCATACATTCATATATTATGTTTGAGAACAAAAGAAAAATAGAGAAATAGAAAGACAGCCAGAGAATAACTGTGAAGAAGAGAGAAGAGGGATACTGTGCGACAGTCTTCTTGAATAATACATCAGGGTTGACTTGTCAGAGCGGTGACTTCAAAGCACAACACACGCTGAGCTGAGAGAAAGGGAGACAGAGCAACAGAAGAAGAGAGAGATACGAGGATGAGGAGTGGGCTGTTAGAGAGGATGAGAATATGTGTGTGCATAAAATCTACATATGCCCCATCGACGATGTATTAACCGATCCGCCCTCCATTTTGAGGCAAACAAAATGTCCTTCTACAGTAGTATTCTCGTTCTTCTGGTTCCTCAGATTTTTTTTTACTCCTAAGCCACCTTGTCTCAATTCTTTCCGTTTCTTTTTTTTTCTTTCTGCATCTTCAGGCATTGGCCATTCAAATCTTCAGTGTCCCACCATCCATTTGTTCATACACCCCTCCATCCTCGTGTGTGATTTGAGAGCAGAGTCCTGAAGAATAATTATCTTTTTCCAAAAACAAAGAAAACAAAACAAACACAAATCGGTCATTACTAACCTTTTCAAATTTGGCAATGACTGGTCTTGCTAGCAAGAACCAGAAGCTGTTAGCATATGCTAATTTCAAAGGGCATTCACACTGACAGTGTTTTGCAGCAAGAGCAAGTTGAAACCATAGTTGGTGATTTGAGGTTACTAGAGACCAAAATTTGTGACAGATCTGGGGAAACTTTATGCAAATGAACAGTGACTACCAGAAAGTGGAGCTCATGTTATCTGCTTCATAATTCTGCAGTTAAGCAGGAAATGCATCCTAGCAATCAAAACAAGCCTAAGGTTCAATTCAATCAGGGCCGCTGCTGGCCAAATGGGTACCCTAAGCAGAATTGTATTGTTGTGCCTCGTCCCCCAAATATTATGAAAGTAAAAAAAACCAAAAAAAACACCTACAATAGGGGTCAAAATAGAACTTTAATAAAATATTAAAGTAAATTAGTTAATTAATTGTAATTAAACGGTATTATTTACAAAGTACAATTGTAGTTATATGGCAAAAAAACAAAAACAAACTACAATTACACATATTAAATAAAACATTTTAAAATATTAAATATTATCAAAACATATACAATAAT